ATAATTTTGAGTTGCGCAAACCTGCCCGTGTTCACTTATGTCTCTCTGGATGGAAACATCCTTTTTTCTTCTTTTTTTTTTTTAAACTGGAATAACATAGTTACAGAGAAGAGTGAGAGACAGAGAGATCTTTCATCCAGTATAATGCTTCTTATGGGTCTCCAACATGGGTACAGGTGTCCACAGACTTGAGCCAGCCTCCACTGTTTTCCCTGACCATGAGCAGGCAGTTGGATTGGAAGTGAGGCTGCAGGGACCTAAATCAGTGCCCACATGGGATGTTGGCACCAAAGGAAGAGACTTAGCTTGCAACAGAATGATTTTGGAAGGGTAGTTTTAAAATACAATAGCCACTTACAATAAAGAAAACTATTGGGCCTGGTGCCATGGTCTAGTGGCTAAAGGTGGCATATGGGATCCTGGCACCTTGCCTTGAAGGTGGGCGCCAGTTCTAATCCTAGCAGCTCCACTTCCCATCCAGCTTCCTGCTTGTGGCCTGGGAAAGCAGTCGAGGATGGCCCAAAGCTTTGAGACCCTGCACCCATGTGGGAGATCCGGAGGAGTTTCTGGCCCCTGGCTCCAGATTGATGCAGCACTGGCTGTTGCGGTCTCTTGGGGAGTGAATCATTGGATGAAAGATTTTCCTCTCTCTCTCTCCTCCTCTCTGTATATGACTTTCTAATAAAAATAAATAAAAATCTTTTAAAAACAAGAGAAAAATTATTCATAAATTTAACTACATTAAACTTAATAATCTGTTCATCAAAAAAAGTTATAAAGTAAAAGACGAACTACATATATTTGTACCAGATATGTCTGATAAAGCACAAATTGTCCAAAAATAGATACAGAAATACAATGACTTAAGAAAAGAATAATCGAAGAAAGGGAAAATGGGGCAAAGGTTTTCAATAGGGACTTGACCAGAGTGAAAAATCTAAATGTCTAAACACATGCAGAGGTGGTCACTCTCATTAAAAAACAAAGTTTGGGAATATAAACCACAAAATGAGATCGTGTTACATACTCTCCACATTTGAGAAATTGATATTGACAATTCTAGGTAAAATCATGTTATATAAAAGCTAAACAGTTACTTTTCTCTTTTGATAGATGAATAAATAGGCTTAGCTGACTTGGACATTTATAAGAAAAACTATTCTATAACCAGAAATCATACCAGGTGCTGCAAAATTAATGCGCACGGTGTCATGATTCATAAAGCAAAGTGTTCTTAGTGGCGTTGTTCATAGAGTCCTAAAAAATAGAGTAATCTGTATTCCCTGCCTACATTTTTCTTGGCCCCTCATAATGAAGTTTCCCTTGGTAAGATAATAAAAAAACTCTATACAATGATTGTAGAGTTTTTTAGTGGCTGTTTCCCTTTTTCTACTTTTTGTCTTGATGTATTCCCACGTGGCACTTGTCTTTAGCATCTCCATTTAAAATAATGTTAAAAACTATGAGTGCAGCAGCCTATAAGGCTCCAGCTCTAGCGTAGGTTTCTTAGGAGGAGAGATAGGGTGTGAATTTATTTCCAGACTGTGCAACAAAATTATAAATTTATGTTTGCAAATATTAACTAAATATACAAGATAATTAGTCCTTATTTTATGTTTCTCATATTCATTCATTAGTGATTTTTTTCCAGGATTTTACTATTCTAAAACTATCCTTCCCCTTTTACTTTCCCTTACTCCCATAAACAGGCCTCCTGCTGAGCAGTGCAGACGTGAGAAACACTTATAATTGGCAGCTCCCTCCTTTCCTGCATCTCACCCTGAATTACCCCCCGCTCTTCCCCAATCATGTCTGATAATTTCACTTTCCTGCTAACTGGATATGTTGGTTTCTTTTCTCTTCTCTTCCTGCTCCTGTTTCGTCCCCTCCTCTATATTTTAATGTGTCCTTGAAATTTTCCTCTTTTTTTATCCACTGATGTGTCACTTTATCTTGATTTTCCTCTTTTATCAGTAACAAAAAACCAGAATGTATGATCACACCACTTACAGATCTTTTCTTCCTTCTTTTCTTGATCCCATAACACAGATATCCTCTAGAATTTTCTCTTATTTAGGATCCGTGTATGTATGTACGTACATACGTTCGTATGTATGTATTTAAGAGGCTCAGAGAGAGCAGTCTTGCATCCACTGATGCACTCCCTAAATGAACGGAACAACTGGATGTGAGCTAGCTTGAAACTGGATCTCGCTGTTAGGTATCAGAGACCTGAACACTTGGAATATCTGTTGCTCTCCATGCTCATTAACAGCAAACTGAATTCAAAGTAGAGTGACTAGAGCTCAAACTAGCACTCCAGTATGATATACTGCCAGCTCAAGCTGGCTGCACTGTAATTCACTGCACCGCAGCGCCAACTCCTGCCCTAGAAGTTTCAGCCATTGGGCCTGATGCAGTAGCCTAGTGGCTAAAATCCTCACCTTGCACACACTGGGATCCCAAATGGATGACAGTTCATGTCCCTAAGGCTCTGCTTCGCATCCAGCTCTCTGCCTGTGGCCTGGGAAAGCAGTGGAGGACGGCCCAAACCTTGGGACCCTGCATCCACATAGGAGACCTGTAAGAAGCTCCTGGTTCCTGGCTTCAAATAGGCTGAGCACTGGCCATTGTGGTCAGTTGGGGAGTGAATCATTGGACGGAAGATCTTCCTCTCTGTCTCTCCTCCTCTCTGTGTATATGACTTTGCAATAAAAATAAATAAATCTTTATAAAAGAAAAAAGGATTTTCAGCCACCATGTTTTTTCCTTTGACATATTCTCAGAAAATCTGAATATTGCGTGACTGAAGTCATCACAGCATTGGTGATTTCCAAGTTGTATGTCCAGTTTCCAACTCTTTTCACGAGTTCCAAATCCCCCCAAATTTTTATCTCCAAAACTCAAACTTACCTTCCCCCTCAAATGTCTTACTACTTTTAAAATTACTTTCGTACTTGGGACTAGTTCTATGCCAAAGAGGATAAAGCCGCTTCCTGCAGTGCCAGCCTCGCCTGTGGGTGCTGATTTGTTTTACAGCAGCGCCACCTCTGAAAATTCCCTGCCGACGCTGTAGGAGGCGTCAGAGCACAGCCTTGGCCATTGTGGTGGCTTGGGGACTTCTCACTGTAACTCTGCCTTTTAAAATAATTAAATAAATCTGAAAGGAAGGGAGGGAGCAAGATAAAAACTCAGAAAATTATAAGGAAATCCATTAGAAAATTTTATTCGTGCAAAACCATATACAAAGATAAGTCTGTGTTATGCATACTCTGACATACTAGTGTTTATAAGTCTGAATAAATTGCATATCATGGATGCAGATATTAACTTTTTTAGGTGCTTCCATAGTTATAGTACATACGGTACTCCCCCAAAAATAGTTCCATCGTGACAGCGCTTTGTGAAGTGGAAAATAGACGTTCATGAGGCTGTCGCACGCAGGATGCGGTGGTCATTTCTGTCAAGGAAAGGAACGTGATGACCTGTGAGGCAGAGCAGGGACATGTGACTTTCTTTTTTCCAATGCTTGATCTTTTTTTGATAAATCGAAATATCATAAAATAACTAAAATTACTCTTTCGACCTTTTCTTCTATAAAACATTTAATATAATTCACTACCCAAATGTCTTAGCAAATTGACCATTTTTCTTTTGAGAGTTTCCATTGCTTTTTCTTCCTAATTATGTCTTTATTGTTCATAAATTAAACAAAATTAAAGAACCGAAGTCATGGCATTACCATTAGTATTGGGGATATTGATGTAAAAGCCTAAATGAAAGAGCTGCAGTGAAAACTGGTGTTATGTCTTTGTGAGTAAGAAGCGATACGTTATATCGGGAATACTTGTGTGTCATGAAGGCTGCTGCTTCCTTTTTTATGGTATGTGCTACTTATTAGCTGAATGTTAACAACCTCTTCTTTTTTCCATGTTGTGCACAAACTGAAGCTCTCACAAGCATCGTGTCTTTGGTACTAGCCCATGCTCATGAACTAAGCATGCATAGTCTAAAATAATACTTTGTGATCGATGTAAATATTAATATTAAAAATATCCTGAATTATTATGTTTGCATAATTGTAGAATATTTATCCTTACTTATACAAATCCTTGTTGCATGAAAAGGTATAATTTCATAATAACTAGTATTTGTGAAATATTTGCTACTTCTAAAGGCTACATAATTTACATACATTATCTTATTAACTTGATATTAATCCAGTGAGACAAATATTACCATTACCTTGATTGTTCAGATAAAGAAAATGGCAAGTCAAAAGACAGTTTCATCAAGATAGTAGCAGAAATCACATAAAACACTTAAATGGTAAATTGAGGAGACTTTAATAAAGGTGTATGAGATTCACAAAAACTTAGAATTCAGGGGTCACAACATGACATCTTGGGATTCCCAGGGACTGGTGAAATCATTAGTGCTTCTAGTGCTGATCTGGTGAAGCAAAAAGGTGGTATTAGAAATCAGAAAAAAGAAAAAGCTGTGGGTTAGGACTTACTTCTCGATCTTGTTGAGACACACAGCTTGCCTGTCCGAGCAGAGAAGGACTCAGGAGTAAATACTACACCTGAAGTTCCTCTGACCATCCTACCAGCTCCTTCCAACAGACTGAGTGCTACTGGAAGCCAGAGAACATTAAATGGCTTGTCAACTTCTAGCAGGTGGTGAAGATGGTTGAAAATGACTAAAAGAGAATGGAAAATACCCACAATGCTAAACTGCTGCTCAATTTCAGACCAAACAACAACAACAAAAAATTGTTGAAGTATTATTTGCTAGGAAAAAAAAAATTTTGTCTAGCAAGTTTTTCTCTTAAAATTTTTATTGCATTTGTATCACAGAAAAAAAAATGTGCAAACCTTGGGATTGCTAAACAGCAAAGAATGTCCTGTCCCTTCACCCCACAAAAACCCTTCAGATTATAGGTGGTAGATTACATGTTGTTGGCATTTTCAGATGATAGCATGTCTGTTCCTCTTCAGATCCCAGACTCCATCATTTCTCGTGGTGTTCAGGTGCTCCCACGAGACACAGCGTCCCTCAGCACTACTCCTTCAGAATCCCCTCGTGCTCAGGCCACGTCTCGCCTCTCCACAGCCTCCTGCCCAACACCAAAAGTAAGTACAGTTCTTTGGCACCTGACACCTGCTGTACTATGGAAGTCTAGGGACACTAACCAATATTTTCTCTGCTTGTTTAGATTGGGTTGCATGCAAGATAACACTGTGAAAAAAAATGGAATTTAAAATAGATAACATTCATTATTTCACAAATTGCCACTTTAGGCCAGTAGTAAGATGGTATAGTGATTGCAAATAAAATGTCTACCCCTGTATCCATAGTTAGGGATATCACTTCCTGTAACCCCTGTTTCTTTGAGCCAGATATGCTATTTTTGACCGTACTCATCTCTATAGATACAGTTATTTACTGCTAAGAATAAATATTTTTGCCATTAAACAGCACAATTAACAAAATGCTGTCACTCACAGGATTTTTTTTTACACTCATCAAGTCTGTGCTAGGTCCCAGCTCTAGTATCATTCCAGATTTTTTTCAAATACATTCAACTTGGAATGTGGCTGCCTAATATTTGGAAACAAATCTAAATTTATTAGAAAGAAAGTTTTAATGCCAACCTTTGAGGGAGGGAGTTTTTTCATCTTTATTTTTACAATCTATCATTGAATCATCATGCAAAAAGAATTAGGCATTTGTATGTCTCACATCTTATTGTGTATGATAAATTACCTAGAAAACTTTATAATTACCATGATTGTTTTCTGTTAGAATATCTTTTCTCTGGTTCAGTTAGTCATTTGTGCTTTCAGATTTTCTATGTGATGGATCCAATGTTGGTATCAAAAAGTTAACAGTAACTTCCTTCTTGCTAGGATATCAGGATGCACATTAAAATCACGATACAAAACTGATGGTTAATTTGTCAAACTGTAGCTTTTTCTGTGTCATCAAATTTAAGCTTCTTTGTAACTGTGTTCTTCAGTTTCAACTTTTATATTAGTTTTCTGAATGTTACAAATTGAATTTAACTAAAATGGTCTCAAACATTCCAGATGTGGTACTGCAATTTATTAGACATTTTATAATACAACCTTCCAAACAAAGTCTTCAGAGTGCAAACTTGTACATCATTATTTTTAGACATGTGTCAAAAATAACAGATAACTTGATTCATTTTAAAAACTGGAGGTCATAAGACCGGAGAAATACTGTACGAACATTTTAGTCTTAAAATACATTCCACTTTAAACCAAATGAAAACAAAGCATTCTTCAGCCCTGACTGGGAAAAGCAGAATTTCATCTGTGTCTTTTAAATTATTAAAACAGAAAGATATGATTTGACTATATTCAATTCCAACTGTACAAGTTAGACTCCAAGTTTGTGTTTTTTCTGCAATAATTTATTGTGATTGTGGTTTTTTAATGTTTTAAGCCAATTTTATTTATAAATGGTAGTTTTGGGCCTTTTAAAATTTTCTAACTATATTCTAGTTACAAAGAGGATGTCTAATACAGTTTTCAAAGTCATTTGGTCATTCCACAGCCTCAAAAATAAAATTAAATAATAGAAGCATTATTAAATAACTTGTTCATTGTAAAAGTTTTAAAAAGCAGATAACTTATCCTGATTTTTTTTCAAGTATTCGAACTAGGATTAAGCACAAATAAAGCAGCATATTTTTATCCAGGAATGAGTTTATTCCTTTTATGTAACTTTTCTGGCTCTGTAATACTGCAAACTTATTACTTTGGTGTAATTTTAAAGCAACTCTTAAATGATGAATTAGAATACTAATACAATAAAATTAATCACTGTATTGTTATTTTAAGTAAAAGTATCAAAATAATCTTAATTAAAAGAATGCTATGAATTGTAACACTGTTTAATTAAATCTAAAATAGGTGCTTTATAAGTGTTTTAATTTCACTGACCTATTAAACTAAGGTAAGCCTAAATTAAATAACTGTAACTTCAGAATCATATAATAACTATATTTTAAAACACATGAAAAGGATTGCTGAAGAGCTGTTAGTAAGGACAGCTGTGTCACCGCGTGCTAGTTGCTGTGTGTGACGCTGGCACCACCTGGGAACTCTGATTCCAGCCCTGCCACTGTGCTCGCACTCCCACTCCTACAGCATGTGATGGCCCAGGCGTTTGGGCCTTTGCCACCGCTGTGCAAACCTGGATGTATGTCCCGGCTCCTGACTTGAGCTTGGCCCAGTCCTAGCGACCGCAGCCCTTTGTGAAGTGCCAAAGCAGATGCAGGGCCACCTTCCTCCTCTCCTCACGCTCTCAGTCGGCTTCACTCAGCCTTTCAAATAAAATACAGATTTTGTAAAGAAGCAAACAAAAAGAAGGGAGGGAGAAGAGGGAAAATGAATAAAGACAGAGGAAGAATAGCGGGAGAACCGCATCCAAACAGTGTGGTCGGAGTGGCCTCTCTGAGCAGCAGTGTTTCGCTAGGAATGTGAAGGAATAATAAAATCCTAGCATGAACTTCTGTGCTGGGTGGAGATTTAACAAATTGTATTTAGCAATAATTGCCACTTTAAAGACAGTTGACACCAATCAAGAGCCCTCAGGCTAAAAGTTGCATTAGTATGTGAATAATAAAATTATCTGGCTTCAAATCCAATATCAAGGGGAGGGGGGAATCCCAGTGCCTGTAAAACTGTGTCGCATGATGCAATGTAATAAAAAAAAAAAAGAGTTAAAAAAATCCAATATCAAATTTCACATTTTGTATTTTAAATAATGAGTTTTTTTTAACCTGTCCTCACTGAGTCATTTATCAATGTCATAGATTTCTTTTCTTATTAATTGTATTGCATTATGTGACACAGTGTTATAGGCACTGGGATTCCCCGAACCCTCTCCCCATGGTGGATTTCTCCACCTTGTTGCATTACCACAGTTCAAATTCAGTTGAGCTTCTTTCATTGGAAATATTTACCAAGCATAAAGTCCAGCATCTTATTATCCTAGTGAGTTCAACAATTTCTTGGTGAGACCATCTCTGGTCTGAATGTAAAGCCGGCAAAGTATCGTCTCAGTCAATTAAAGGCCCCGACATAACATCAACAACAATTTACAACATTATGGCATTAATTGCAGTGTCATAGACTTTGACACTTAACCTCTGTTCTAGGTGAGTTATTTATGTTAATTTTTGTAGTAAAAATTTAAGGCAGAAAAAGAAAATAAAAGGTTTTTTGGGTTTCAGATTTTGAACTGTTGGATAGCTTATGATGTTACAAGGAGTAAAATGAAAGCAGCGGGTTTTGAGAGTAAAAGCATAGTGCATTCGGACTTTGATTGTGTTCAATCTGAGGTACATATGAGACACCCAAGGAATGGTATTCAGCAGAAACGTGGAAATACAGTTTGAGATGGACATTTTTATTGTTACTTCATCTTGGTCATAACAATTAAATGTTAGTGTTGGCAAAACCCAATATATATCGACTTTCTAAAAATTTCATATTAAGCATGCATTATGTCATGTGCAGAAATATACATTTAAATGTATTTTCTTTACATCAAAAATATAACACAGACTTAGATATCAGTACCATACTATATTATGCCAGTTATTTAACTTTTCTGAATTTCATATCTGTTCAAAGTGACAATCCCTGTTTCCCAAAGAGAGTTCATTCATTCATTAAGTTAGCCTTGGTGGGAACCTAACGGTGAGCCTGTAAGCATTGTTCCTTCCTTTAAACAGATAAAGTAAATCACCCTAAATATTAACAAAGTATAATAAGGAATGAGAATAGAATGTTATGGAAGTAACCATCTGAACCACTTGAAATGGTTTGTGAGAACCCAATGATTAAATAGCCAAGTTAGGATTCAAAACAAATTGTTTCAGCCCTTGCCTGTGTAGCTTTCCTTAGTGTTTGTCAGGAGGTCTTCCTCCATAATTGAGTGTGCCTCTGTTTCTATAGGCCAACAACTATGATACTCGTCAGCACAGCATGGATTCTCATTTTGTGTGTATACTGATGGAAAGTATGCTAGATTGTCCTTTGTTCCTGTAAAATTTTCCAGCCATCTTAACAATTATACCATGTTTCTATTTTAATTTTTGTTCTAATGAACAATCTAATGAAGACTACCATACATAACCTTTTATTAACAATCCCTAATAACATAGTATTTTTCCAGCAAATGTTTATTTTATGAAATTTTTTTTAAAAAAGTCGTTTTATGTCAGATATTTTCTTCTTATGAAATCTGACTGGGGTGAATGAGTTTCACTCCTTGCTTTTTGATGTAATGTATGTTTTTAAGACCAAATTTGGGATTTCAGTATGATTTTCTGGGTGACTTTGGTCACCCAGAGTAGAATAATGACTAAGTCAAAGTGAAATCATACATAGATTCTATTTAAAGAAATGTAGGATTTATCTAGAGAACTTGAGTTTAAAATGGTGATAGTCTTCCACAAAGCATGTGATAAAGGAATATTTCTGTAACAGATAAATTCTTTTTCACAGGAGGTAAGTGTTGATTTTTAATCATGAAAGACAACCACATCTCTGTTTACAAATCAAACTAAGAAGTTTCAGGTACAAAATAATAACCAGAACAGAAAGAAATACCCTTTAGATCAAATTTCCATCACATGTTATTAAAATAGAAAATATTTTAAAAGTCAATTTTTAGCTTTTTATTCCCTAGTTTCTAAAGTTTGATTTTTAAAAAATATCCAATCTTTAATCACAAATTCCATTGTACCTTAAAAATTAATTAGAAGTATATGCCCAGTTTAACCAACAAGTGGGGTTATCCCCCTCCCTTTGGGAGAAAATATAAACACCTAAAATATCTATTTGTACTGTGGTTTACATTACTTAAAAATATATATGCCAAAACATTTTTATATTAAAGATATACTCCGGTTCTACACAGCATTTTATCATATCCAGCTTGCAAAGTTGTGAGTTAATGTAGGATTCTATTATTGTCTTTTGAGCCAAGTCAATAGAATGTTCAGAGTAGACGATTTTCTTCAGTGTTTGAGTCTGAAAGGCAATGTGATTTCCTTTACCCATAACGGTGATGCTGTTGATTGAATATCAAC